GGGCGGCTGCTCAACGACGGTTATAAAATAAAATAAAACACTTGTCCCCGATGTTAGATTATTTTGTCTTTTTTGCATCAATCATTTACAAATATACATATCCCCTGTTGCGTCGTACTATGAGTCCAAGAGAGTATTCGTACGCCATGATATTGTATTTGCTATTATTTTTCTTATTTCTACTATAGCAAACTCATCTAGCTGCATCTATTCAACAAATCTAAGACACGTATTTCACACACAGTTATTTCGCTACTATTTTAAATATTTTAGTATGCCGGGATTTGTAGGTTGGCATTATTGTTATTTGTTGTTTTATTTACTCTATTAACAAACGAACGTTAAATTCGAATTCCGTTCGTTTTCGTTATAGGCCGCTAGTTTATTCCAAATCTCGGTCCCTGATTTCCTTCGAAATCCAGGCTGTTTCCATCTTAAACCGCATCATTCATCTTCGAAATTCCTTTTCTGTCTTACGAAACGTCAAAATAAAAGCATAAAAAATGGAAAAGAAGAAGGCTCAATAACAAGAACGTTAAAAAAATAAATATATAAATAAAATAAGTAAATTTTTGTTGTGTGATTTTTCTGGTTTCTTCCAAATAATTCTAGGAATTTTCCCTCTTTCCCAGGCTAGGAAATAAGTCCTTTTCGCTAATTGAGCGCGAGTTCTTTGGTAGGGGGCGGAGATGTGCGAGTATTTATTTCTACAGAGGGGTTGTTTATAGACTCAATCCCCGCCCCTGTAGCCCCATTCTTCATCGTGGCCCTTAGTCGGGGCCCATTATTTCTCATTCATCACAATGAGGTGACTTGAGTTAATGGGTAATAACAATATCCGAGAATAAATAGATAATGATACCATTTAACTAAGTTTAGTTTAGAGTAAGTTGTTGGAAATACAATATTATCATTAGCTTTCGAATAAATTTTAGATAAAGATTTTATGTATCAAAGTTGAAGGTTTCTTCAATCTCAAAGAATTAAAGAAAACATTTGAAAAAAAAATCTCTATAATTTTAATATGGTATGTTACTTACTGAAAGTGATGGTGACCCAGTTAAGTAGCTGACTTTTGGAAAGTTTACTGGTAACCAAAAATAGGGGAAGATCAGACATCAGATGAATTGTTTTTTTATATCTTATTTTTAGTTTTTAAATTTTTTTTTTTTACATCCGTTGTTGAAAAGCCGACCCAGTGTTTCAGGTTTAAAACTACTAATGTCCAACTACGTAGCCTTGTAATTTTGAACCCAATTCAGAAGACAAGTGAACTCCTGGATCAAGTATTGGGGGAAATTTGGCTTCTTGAAAAACTCTTTGAGGGAACTAATCCGCATTTGCGTTACGAGGAGCGGAAGACCACGAGAACCTGCCACGGTTAGCCTAAGGGGAAGGGGACTCTAACCCATGATCCGTCTACCACTGAGGATATTTTACGTCCGCACTGTGATCGGTGCAAGCCGGATGCGGAATTTGTATCGACCAGCCATTGCTGGGATTCGAACCCGGTTCATCGCATTGGAAGGTGAACTCTCTATACCCTGAGCCCCGAAAGAGCTGAATTGATATTTTGTGAAAAAGATCTTAAAACCATGGACATCAATTTAGGGAGAAAGCTAGTGTCTGATTGAATTAGATGGAAACGATTGATTTGGACGCTTCTTGTCTGTACTAGACTGTTAAGCAGGTGGAAAAAGAAGTTAATGGAAATATGTACCTGAGAAATCAAATAAAATAAAAAGAGGAAATTTTGAATTTGTCACAACAACATATTCTCTCACATTTGAAGCTTTTGAGAAATGTTTTTTTTTCCAGTGTTAGAGCTAAAATAGAAGTTTTAAATTCAAAAAATAGTTGTAAAATCAATATCAGAAAAAAAAACAAAAAACATTTGATCATCCAGCCTTTTATGCATCTATATAAATAAAGTACTCGTAGTGAATAAAACTATTTTAATTATTAAAATATTAACATTTAACCTTTGCTACCAATAACATTAAATATTTTTGAATGTATGATAATTTCGCAGTAGATGTTGGTATACATATCAGACATATATTCTTCATTATATTTGTTTATGTTACTTTTAAAAAATATAACAGTATTTAACCCATTATGTGCCGAAACTCTCGTGTACTCAAAATCAATAATCTCAAAAAGATTAATATTAACTCCATTATTTCATATTTTAAATTTATTAGGTGAAGCAAAGAGATTTGTGTTCCCCAGATTATAATTATATTTTAAGCAGTTCCATCTGAAATAAAATAAAAAATCTAAAATAATTTTTTTTTATTTTTAAAATTGAATGTGAATTTTCTACCACTTCTTCCAGTTTTAACATTTAAGTATACAAACTGTTGCGTTACGTCCGCGAAGATCGTGTTCAGACGCTTGAAGTAACGTTTGAAATATGACGTTTGAATTAATCTAATTAATTTTAGGACAATATTATTATTTTTTTTCTTTTAAAATAAGTTTTTTAAAAGTTATTAGTGGTGATAAAATTGTTTCGTAATTTGTCTGCTACTGAAAAAGCTTTAAATGAGTATGGATTATGGTGAACATGCACGTACTGTTTCCACCAGTTAAAAACAAAGAATGATATGATTGTTCAACCAGAAAAATGAAATGACTAGTTTTTCCCCGCTTAAAATAATTCTTCTGAAGAATCTTCACCGAAAATGAGAGTAACTTGCAGCTTTTGAAGTAGTCAAAAGCTAGTGAAATTTCGAATTGTGCGTGGCATATTGTTTACAGTTTTTTTTTTTTTCATATAGGAGATAATGGTGTAGAATCATAAACAAATGTCAGTTTTTTTGATCTATGTGCTGCCATCTATCGGTTAATTTAACAAAAATATTTATAGTTTTGTAACTCATAGTACATATTTTCTTCGATCGTAAATTAATTATTTTATTTAAAACTTATTTTCAATTAAATGAAAAGTCTTACTTTATTTTATTATAAAAAATATTTTATTTTCGATGTTTATTTGGCAGTTTAATATATATAGATATATATTTTAATTTTCTCCTTTACAAAATTATAAGTGTTTCTAAAATGTTATTATATAATTTTGCTTGTTAAAAAGAACATGTCATGATATTTAGGAAAAAGGCCTTGAACGTTTAAATGTTATTTTTTAAAAAAAAATTTTCTCAATCCGGACCATTTTATTTCTGAAAGAAACAAATTTAATAGCGTCAAATATTTCTTTCCAGTGGGCGTTTCTATAAAACTTGAAGATCGATCTATCAAGTTTGCCTGTCCTCTATGCGTCTTCAGATTGTTCCTTGATCCCACCTTTTCCTTATTCTCTCTATCTCTCTCTGACATTTCTTTATACTTTTTTTTTCAACATCTCCGAATTATTTTTCTTTCAATAAGAACATTTGAACTATATATTTTCAGATATCTATATATTCACTGTTATCTCATATTTTTATTGATCAATATATTTTATTCTCTTCTGATATTTTTTTTAATCTGAATTTGTATAATTAAATTTTAAGATTGAATCATAAATTATTGCCGCATCGAAAGCATTAAATAATTTGAAAAATATAAACTCAAGTATAAGTTAATTTGAATTACTAATTTATTTAGTCAATTGAATTAACAATTTATTTAGTCAATTGAATTAACAATTTATTAAGTTAATTGAATTAACGATTTGGATGTAATAATTATGATCACGTATTGGCAATTGGTTATTTCAATTTCAAATGAATGATTTCACTGACAAAGATTGGTAATACAACAACGAGTCTTTAGATGTCAATATTTACTATATGATAATTTCTAGGTCATTTAATTTAGTTTAAAAGATGATCTGATGGCGTATTTCGAATAGACATACGTAATTATAATTAGCACTTTTTTTTATTTTTGATCAGGCGTACTTGTTTACTATGATTAGCTATATTTATTCCCTACTATCTTACGATCTTTAACACTAGAACAGTAAGACTTTGGACTAACTGCAATTGGAGGTCAATTTGTACACAGGAAATAGATGTCGTTCTAAAGTAAATGATTTTTTAATATATGAATACTGTTGAAGTAAGGGTTATCAAAGATTAATTTTTTTCTTCCATTTATTATTCTTGGAATTGCAATATAAAAGTATTATGATATATTTTATAACATACTATTTTTTCGTTGGAGCACAAGTTACACGAATCAGTGATCAGGGGCCCACTTGAATTTGATTATTTTTTACATTTAGTTACACACGACACATTACAAAACATCTACGGAATTACGGGGTAGTAACTAACTGGGGTCGAGAGCTTGGTCTTAGCTAATGAAAATAAACGTAGAGCCAGTCGAAAATTTTCTGGGTTTAAAAGGAAAATCTCTACGATTCAAGTTAATGACAAACTGATATTGTAAGAAATTATAAACATACGATCTATTATTGAGTCCTTTCAATAATTTTCATGAGAAAGCTTAGTTTGAAATAAGCTTCTCAAATGTTTTTCGTATGAGCCTTTTGTTTGTTTTTTTGCGCTAAAAAACATGTTTGAAATAAGCTTCATATGTTTTTTCTGTGAGCTTTATGTATTTTTGGACTATAAATATATTTAGAATAAGCTTCTCGTATGTTTTTCTATGAGCCCTTTGTTTTTTTAGACTAAAAATACGTTTAAATTAAGCTTCTCGAGTTTTTTCCATGACGCTTTTGTTTTTAGGGTAAAAATATGTTTGAAATAAGCTTCTCATATATTTTTCCATGAGCCCTTTGTATTTTAAGACTAAAAATAAGCTTCTCATTCGTTTTTTCTATGAGCTTTTTGTATTTTTAGTCTAAAAATATGGTTAGAATAAGTTTCTCATATGTTTTTTTATGTGCCCTTTGTTTTTTTAGTCTAAAAATATGTTAAAAATAAGCTTCTCATATGTTTTTTTCTATGACGCTTTTGTTTTTTCAGGTAAAAATGTTTGAAATAAGCTTCATATGCTTATATTTATTTTTCTCTCTTTCTTTCTAGATGCATGTGGTTTATCTGATGTTGCCCATATCGAAAGTCTCCAAGAAAAGTCACAGTGTGCACTGGAGGAGTACTGTAGGACACAGTATCCCAACCAACCAACCAGATTTGGTAAACTTTTACTTCGTTTGCCCTCTCTGAGAACTGTAAGCTCACAAGTGATCGAACAAATATTTTTTGTGAGATTAGTGGGCAAAACACCGATAGAGACACTAATACGGGACATGCTGTTGTCCGGTAGTTCGTTCAACTGGCCGTATATGCCGCTCCAGTGACCCATGGATGGGGGTCACCCGGAATTCATGGGGGCTCCCGATCAGAGGTTGCTAATGTGTATGGCTGCCGCTCTGATGCCTCAGCAGCTTTGTGGCGTTACTCCTAAAAGGTAGCATTAGAGGCGAAACCGGCCCGCTGCTGAACTGACGACGTCTTCTTGAAGTAACAATTAAGACGAAACTTAATAAAAAAAGTGACACGCCTCTTCCATTATTGTTCAATATCGATAATTATCATAAACAAGTTCATAATTTGACTGCTTCTATTAAATTTTAAACTTTTTACCGACATCCGAAAATTGGATCTGGATGATTTTTAGTACCAGTATGAAGTAAAAAAAATTTATTATGAAATTGACAAACCAATTTGCTGCAAACGTAATGCAATTGTAATAGTTTTATTGTATTGACTTACCGTCACGAGAAAATCTCCTGCAGGAAGCTGAATCCTGTAATTAGAAATAAAACTAGCTGTAAAATCATTTTATTTTCAGCTTGTTTTTGTTAGTTTTTTTAAATATCCGTGGCATCCCTTACATCCGTGGGTAATCCGTGACATTATAACTCACTTAACTCTTTGCACTCCGACTGTTGTTTAAACTAATAGAAGAACTAAATCATTTAAAATACATAAAACAGTATTTTTTTAAAATATAATTTGTAAAATTCTTATAATAATGTGGTTAATAGTTATTAAGGTATAAAATTTTTTAATTTTGGAGTGTTGACTGTTGATGACTACTCGAAGGCGACATCGGAGTACAAAGGGTTAAAACCTCTTATGGCCACTATTTTTTAAAACTCAAGCGATAATTAAAAATAAAAGGGTTTTACTTTTCCTAATTAATTCCCTCCAACTACTACGGAATGGAAGTCATGTAAACATCGTTTAATAAATCATGGAATCACGGATATTTTACTTCTCCCAAAAAAAGCTTGAACTGTAGTAGTTAAATACCAGTGTTTCCGCATTTCCGAGTGAGGCATCATTTGGAAATTTATCTCGTGACGGTCTGTCCTTACCATGATATTTGTTCTTTAGATAAACTTCTGCAAGTTTTCTTTGTTTAGTTTTCAAAAATTCCCTTTATAATTATTAAATTTTAATATTTAAGTGCAAAATTTGCTTATAACTTTTTTTTAGTTTATCGAAAAGTAACCAATTCAGCTTAAGTAAATTTGCTTATTCAATTTTTAACTTTCTAAACCAATCTTAATATCTTCAAAAGATATCGATATCTGATATTCATGAACCGGTTCAGATCATTGTTAGACGAATTTATACATCTGTATGACTCCACAAATATTTCATGATTGTTCAGTATTACATGAAGTTATCACTTGTTCTGTACAAAATCATAAAGGCTATATAAATATTTAGCCATTGTTAAATGAATTTTAAAGTTTCATTCAAATCTCTTACAGTTTTCTTCATGGTCAAAATGGTATTTTTGAACTTTCTTTTATTTCAAAAATTCTAATATCTCATGCTCATACTAAGAAAGTGCGAAAAGTTTTATTTTAGTGATAGTGTACTAAAGCAGAATTTTATGAAATTTTTATAAAACTTTTATCAGAAAATCTGATTAAAATATTAACCTTTTACAGCTCTTTCAACAGTTAAAAAAATGCAATCTATATTTTAAAGTATATATATTTTATCTATAGAAATCTATATCTTAATGAAAGATTTTTGGTTTAAAAGATTTGACTCAAAATTATTTTATAAACCAGAAAAAAAAATTAATTCAAAAGCTCATATGAAGCGCTACTTCATTCTCGAATTGAAACTTTTTATTTTATAACAGACGTTGAACAGCCGATCTAATTCTGAGTTTACGACTATCAATGTTCAGCTCCGTAGTCTCGTAATTTTGAACCCAACCCGGAAAACAAAGGAACTCTTGGATCAAGCATTGGGTCACACTGCATTTGCGGAGGACTTTTTTGGTGTAACTAATCCGCATTTGCGTAGAAGGGAGCGGAAAATCTCCCACGGTTAACCCGACTTTAAAGGGGATTCTAATCCGTGATCCGTCTACCACTGAAGATATTTTACGTCAGCACTGTGGTCGATGTCAGTCGGGAGGAGAGTTCGTATCAACCAAGCCACTATTGGGATTCGAACTCTGGTTACATCATTGGGAGGCGAACACTTTCCTGAACCACAGCGGTTCCTTATTGAGTCTTTGTAAACGTTGCAAAAATAACAAAATTTCTGTGCGTTTCAGTTTTTAGCACTCTACAACTTTTTAAAATTTTATGCTCAAAGGCAGTGCAGCTTTCATTGTTGTTTTTGAAATACAAATCTTTCACTTTTTGAAAATATCAAAAATAAATTAATTAATACTAGGAAATAATAAATTTTAAAACGTGTAATAAATTATCAAATTTCAAATTATTTTATTTCTTAAAGGAAATTAAAAAAAAAAGCAGTTTCTTCAATTTTTTAAATGTAGAAGAATCAAAACCGTCAGACCATGTATTTAGAATACTAATTAATTAAACAAAAATATTTATGAGTTGTGCGCGAAGTTAGATTATTATTTACCATTTTCCATGAAGTAAACTTTAAGAATTCATTTAGAATGTTTTTATTAGTTTTCATGTGCTCTATGTTGCCATGTTTTATATTTTCGCTTAATCAAAGTCGATGTTGTAAAGTTAAAAAAATGTTTTTGTGCAATATTTAAAATATGAAGAAATGACATATTTTTAATGTAACATATTTTGCTCTTTATACGTATATTGAATTTATAGAATAAATTGTCGTCTGTTATTCTTCTAGTTTATGACATAAAGATGTTTTAATAAATATTAATCTGAATGTATATTCAATGCCTCTAAGTTAGATAATTATATATTTTTTAAATTTCAGTTCATGGCAATTAAGTTTTTTTCAAAATGTTTTTCTTTCCATTTTACAATTTTTCGATCGCATTTTTTGTTTAATAACACGGTTTAAAGGTTTTTTTTCCGAATTCACATCAGCTTACGTTCACGTCTGTCTGTACATTCTAAAGTAGCTGCGCATGCCCACGATCGGATTCCTCAAAACTGCGCATGCTCAGTTACACTTGAAAGATCAGTGTAACTGAGAATGTCAGAAAACTTTTTTTTTTGGTCAATATAATGGAAAACATTTAATTATCACTTTATATCTAGTTGCCATTATGTAAACTCCAATATTTATTTTAATTTCATTTCTTTCATGTTGCTTATAGAAACAATCTTGTACATCTGTGGAAACAATCACACTGTACAAAATATTCAATAAATGTATAATACATTGTACAGCCAAATATCAGTGATTATAAAATATTGATTAAAAGACTTGTCCATTTTAATTATAGATGAGATCATCATCATTATAACTCTGGCATAAAATCATGTACTATAATTATTTTTAAAAAAAAGTTTAAACTACCACGTGATAGGTATTTAATTCTGTTTGTCGACTCAGCTTATTTATGTAATTAAACAACTGATTTGACGTTGACTTTCATTAGTTTCTATTTTCAATAAATAATATACTGCAATAAACAATAATTTGGCTGAATTAGGTCATTTAACATACTATTTTAACGGGATAGTACTGCCCTGACTTCTATTAATCACGCGTACTTCTTTCAAAACATTAAAAAATAGAATCCCATGTTTGAATTAATGAAATTTAAATGTAAAAAATGCTTCGTAAAATAATTATTTGCATTTTTTGTTAATACGAAAAAAAAAATCATTCGAATTGTTTTTTCGTGATTTTACTGTAATTATTGATATTTCGTTATAATAGGCATTGTCATTACGTTTTATTACATGTATGACCCAGAGTTGATGTTTTTGTTTTTTTAAAGGACAAAATACTAAGGGTAAAACATTTTAACGTTACCTTATTATTTCACTCAATTTTACCCTATTACCCATTTCAAGATGAAAGATTTTTCTAATTGTACCTTTCTAAAGAGGTCTGATTTAAAATAATTTTGGTGTTTCAGCTGTGTTTAATGACTTATCGCATTAAATTTCAAAGTGTCTTCAAGTTTTAAATTATCTTGGTTACTTTATTCATTGCATGTTAAAATCAACTAGCACTTTTTGATCAAACATTCATGTTACATCATGAATATTCATTAAATGTATGTGAATAGTTACATTGCTTTCATTATGCCCTGTAAATATACCATTACCTTTAAAATATATGTAATTATGAACAAACTAACGGACAATATACTTAAAAGTTCACAGAGACTAGCCAGAATTGTTCATACTACTTAAATGTTCTTTCATAATTTGCTAGTTTTCATAAATAAATTTTCAAATAATTTCCTTGGTTATTGTAAAAGACAATTTAAAATTCTTTTTGCTCTGTTAACATTCAAATTTTTTCTCTTTTATATTCCATGATTTTCAACTTCAACCATCTTCTCAATTTTTCATTTCCGTAATTGTTTAGGCCTATTATATTGACTTAAAGTACAACGAGTGTCCCAAAAATTACAAATGTTTTTAAAAATCAATTTAAAGAAAAATAGAAATGTATGGTTTGTTGCATTTTGCTAAGGAATCCAGTTAATTAGTCTGACCAAGTTTAATAATCATCTACAAAATCCATCAACAAATAACGTATGCAATCGTACAAAAACTATGAAACAATTTGAAAATAACTGCCATTTGAACCTACAGCATGATTTTAAATAAGAATAAAAGTAGCTAAACAAACGGCTGCGCAAATGTTACGGTCGGAATGGTCTGACATATAACAGAAAATATAGTATTTACAATCTGAAGCTCCACCTGTTGATGAACGTTTTAACTAATTGTGAAATCAGGTTAAAATAAATCTCGTTTCTAATGCAAATTGTACATTTCTACTTTTTATCTTTCTTTAAATAGTTTTTAAAAATTGTGGGTAGTTTTTGGACACACGGATATGAGTATTCTTTTTTTTAATTATTAAAAATTGCCGAGTTTTGATTAAATAGTAAAAATAAATCTAGAGCTTATATGTAATTAATCGATAATGTTGATGTTGAAAATATGACCCCAAATTTCATACTCTTTTCTTGCGGCTTGTTATTGTCTCATAGCACGCTCTAAAGTACGAATTATTTAAAGAATTTAATTATGACTGTTAGCACTTACCTTTAATACTGATATCAATAAATTTCAAATAGTGAAACTTCATTTGTTTTATGTGTTTTCTTTGTTGAATTAAAAGACGCTTATTGAGTATGCTTTAAGAAAAAATATAGGATTGTCATAATTGATAATAATTTAAATTTGAACAAGAACATTTAATTCATTACTTCTTTATGGATATCATTATAATGTGAACTTAAATTTGTGTGCAGATTGTTTATAATATTTTCATGAATATAAATATGCCAATAATTTTTTCGCCAAGATAGTAACGCCAAACAACTGAGTTGCCAATTCTTTTTTATTTATTAATTTTAGATACGAATACTTTGTGTTATCTATTTGTCATCTCAAGTAAAATGTACACTTATAAAGAGGTTGAACGAAATGTAAATAAATGAAAATAAATGTAAAATGTTTTTATTTTGGTCTCTTTTTATTCTTTAACACATTTTTATAAACACATTTTAAAGCGACTTGAAGAGGCTGAATGTAGCGTTTATTTACTATGCCCTTATAAGGACTTGTTGCCCTAAATTGGACAAGAAATCCATGTGTATTTAACTCATTGAAATAAAGTTTTCAATCAATTAAATTACATTTAATTCCCGGTTTCCTTTAAGTTGCAAAAATAACCCTATAAATTTTTAGTAGTATGGTTGTGTTGTAGGCTGATTAACAAATCCGGTTCGTAGTCATTGAGAATTCGCAGTGCGAAAGCATATATGCTTTTTGACTCATTAGGAAAAGCACCAATAGTTGCTCAATCAGACTGAATTTGCTTAGGCTTATTACAATAAACTTCTATTGAAGGTATTTACTATTAGCTTTTACTACTTTGGAATTATTTATAATTACCTGAAATAAGTGAGATTAGTTGCGAAATAAGTGATACATCTTCTAATTATCCTATGATATGTGGGCTTATGTTAGCTGAATAAAGTTAATTCGGTTAAAAATTCTGGAAAATTTTTCACCCAGTTCATCGCATTATGAGAAAAGCCAGATTGCAAGCAGCTAAAATATTCAATTAGCCTAAGATTGCTACTAATTGCAAAGAGTCTGATATAACATCAGTCTTCGACAGATACATATATAAATTTTTCCCATGTATACAAAAGACTACGTACTATTTAAACTAGCTTGGAGCATTGCGAGAAAACGGCAGATGTTTGCAAAGAGCCGGATAATCCAATTAGTCTTCGACAGATATGCCAATTCTCTACCTGGAAACTTTTTCATCTAGCCTGACGCATTGCGTGAAAACGGTGGCTATTTGCAAAGAATCGGATTATTCAATTGGCTTTCGACAGATCTACCTATTTTTCACCTTTTAGACAAAATACTGCTTAAGTTTCAAACTAGCTTGGAGTGGCCCGGGATAGCCTAGTCGGTAGGGCACTGGGCCCATGTGCAAGAGTTCTGTCGAGTCGCGAAGTCCTCCATGTTTCCATAACAAATCAATACCTCTGGGGGTACTGATCCAGGTCCAGATCCTGGGGGTAGTGATCCAGGACTGACCTTGTCTTCTGGATTGGTTCAAAATTACAAGGCTACGGTGCTGAACATTAGTAATCGTAAATCCAAAAGGGGATCGGCTGTTCAACGACGGGTATAAAATAAAATAACACTAGCTAGGAGCATTTGCGAGAAAACTGAAGATGAGGCCGGATTATCTAATTAGTCTTCGAAAGATATACAGATTCTCTACATGGAAACTTCTTCATCTAGCTTGATGCATTGCGTGAAAACAGCTGTTATTATGTCCGCCTTCAACATAGATACCAATTTTTTCACCTGTAGACAAAAAAACTACATTATTTTTCAACTAGCCTGAAGCATTACGAAGCATGTTTGCAAACAGCCGGGATTATTCATTTAGCCTTCTACAGATATACCAATTTTTTCACATGCCTGCAAAATAATGTCGACTTTTCCAACTAGTCTGGTAGATTACAAGAAAGTGGTGGCTGGTAGCAAAGAGAAAGATTTTCCAATTATCCTATCGCAAATGTACCAATTCTCTCACTTGCAGACAAATCACGAAAAAACTTCGTCATAACATTTTTAAAAAAAATTATCTTGGTTTATTAGAATAGCTATGATCTCTACATGTAAGACCCGAACATGTGGCACAACAAATTTTGATTATATTTTCAAACTGGAGCTCCCTTAACACAACAACCGCCGCAGTTCTTTAACAGTTTTTCCTGTTGACAGATGGAATCCTCTCCAAATTTTGCTGTTAGTAACATATAAATGACTTGTAAATAGTGTCTATGTTATTTTCATCAAATGTTTCATGTTCATGTGTTAAATCTCTGCCTCTGCGCAAAACCTCATTTTTTAAGTTTCGTGTTTGTCCGCCTATATTCGAATATTCTGAGCCACATTTATTTCACCTTCTATTGTTATCATATCAGATGAATCGGCGAGGCTGGTCCAAAGCAAAGACAAAATCCAATATCCAAAACGACCTCTGCAATAATAATTTTTAGTAACTAATGCTGCTTCTTTCAGTAAATTATTTAATTAATTAATTAGATATAAATTTTCACCAAAATGAAATAATTTTTTTTAATAGCATCAAATATTTGCTTTCAGAGCAAATTCAACTTCTGTTTTTTTTTTCTTCTCCCCTCACCAAAAATATGTGGCTGTCCATAAAATGAAAGTGTGTCGCCACAAACCTCAAAACTCCCCTCAGAAATTTGACACTCATCATTCCGCGAAAATGAGGGGGAAAGGGTGGCACATGTGGGGGGGGGTGCAAAAAACGACCCCTATCATTTCGGAGAAAAAGATAACCGGCGAGTAGGGAGTATGTGCAAGTGTTTGAACTTCCAAAGGGACATTATTCAATCTCACACTTGCCCCCCACCCCTTTTCTTTGTGACAGATGAAAAAAAATATGCCCCCTCTTTTGCAAATATGTAACCCGACCCGCGATCTTTTGAGAAGTCCCTTTTGCACCCACTGCTGACATTCCCTCAACCCTCCCCCCCTCGTGGGTTGGGAGTAGGTATGAAAAGGTTTTGGGGGTAACCACCAAACATGAGGGATTGTAAATTAACTCCTCGTTTTTCGAGAGCTATATTTTTTAACTGGAAAAAAAGAAAGAAAGAAATGAAGAAGAAAAAAAAGGAGTAAAATAAAAGAAACGTCGAAAAGTAGTTTGACATCTTTCTGATAAGCCTTTAATTTCAATTCTTAATGTTTATAAATGAAATGGCGAGGGATGGTATGCACTCCTAAAAGTGCTGGGAAATTTATTTTTATTTATTTAATACATGAAATTATTTAATCATAACTACCACCATAACTAATTTTGTAAATTATAACTCAAGTTCACCCAACATTCACATACCTGCCAACTTTTACGCATTTGGCGTAAAATTTTATTTTTACATTTAAAGTGGTAGTAAACATGTACTATTATTTCTTTTATAAACTTATTTTTAAATGATTTTGATCACCACTATTCTTAAAAAAATTAATCATATATATTAATATGTGCTACTGTCACGGTTTACAGCTTAAGCTTTTTCAAATACATCGTATTTTTATGGTTAAAATCGAAATTTTAATTCCATTTTAATACCACTGGGAAAAAGATGGCAGGTATGCATTCATGATGTATGGGAAAAGGGCCAGCTAGACTAAACAGACCCGAGTCGCCAAAATAATTTTAAAAAGTAAGCGGTAAATAATACAAATTAAATTTTACAAATATTTGGCTATTTTTGCATGACGTAAACTCCTTAAAGTGGTGAACTATATAAGCCTATGAATTATACAGAAATTGTGGTGGATAAAAATCTACTAAATTGAATTTATTAAACTAAGAAGTACAATTGATAAACTACCACTTTAAAATATTTATTTGCTGTCCGGAGCAAGTTGGCATCTCTGGCAAACTCAACGAAATATGCTTTTTATTTGTTAATTTTTATCTCTTTTTAGTAGATATTTGTTTTTAATTAGTCACTACTCTTAACAGCTTTTGGCTAACGTGACTTCTATGTATTTATTTAAAATAAGTAAACATACAATAATCGACTTTAAAAAGTTAAGAGGTAAATAAAAGTAAAAAATGTCTAATTAGTTTGTCTATTTAGTTGTCTATTTAGTTTTATAATCCGTCATAATCATATCATGCTTTTTCATAACTGTCCAACTTTATATAAACAGACTGATCGATGTAGAGTTGATCTCTTTTCACATAATCATCTCTTTACAACATATATTATCATAATTTCCTTTCATGGATGTCCGACTCTGCTTAGAAAAATCACAAATAATTATCAGTCTTAAATAGGCACATGTTTTGGGGAAGACTTCACATGGCGACTCTGTTCGCACCATTTCAAAGATCATGATTGAAGCTAGAAATGGTGTAAATAGCTTTTAGAAGTTCTCTCCCTACGCTGGTTTGTTTAATGCCTTATTTAAATTACATACATTCATATGCACGCTTGTGAGCTCAATATAGGCTTATAAACGTTTTGTCAAGTAGGAGGACGATGAATACATCCACGATTACGGTGGGATTCGAACCTGCTACCTCCACATATTTGTCGGGCAATACCACTGGAACAGAAAGGCCCTTTTCCTCGCTGGTCAATTTCTGCTAAAAAGAATTATAGTGGTGACCGAGTCAAATTATTAAAATATAATTGAATAATTGATTTCTCAGATTAAATTCTACTTCCTTTTTGGAAGGAGCAGTATTCAATTGTGTTATAGAAACAATTGAACCACAAATTACCCGGTTTTATGTAACTTTATCAAATAAATTAATATCTTACAACATGGGTCCTTAACCTTCCGAGATATTTGTGCCAAAAATGTGTCATTTTCAAATACAGTTACTATCAGCGTGAAGAAATCGGTCACGTGACGCAAGCTTACCGTCTCCAGCCACACATCCAGCTAATTAAAAATAACCCCACAAGACAACCCACTTTATAATCTTGGCGCAAATCTGTCCCCCACCACCACCACAAACACCGCCAACCTTACCTGCAATGCAAAAATTCCAATTTAAAAGTTCATGCCCAATTCACACCGCGAATCGTTCTGTGTGGACGCTTTAGTGTAATTTAAAACCCCCCCTAAACAGTCTGGAAACTCATCTTGCACTAACTTTTAATTACTGAAGCAATAACGCTTCCTCAGCGTCAAAACTTCTGTCTGGAAGCAGCAAAACTTCTATCTTTTGGAAGGGAAAAGAGTTCAGATGAGAAGTTCAAGTAGGAGAGGTGATGGAGGTGGTGGGGGTCCTGCTGATTTGCAAGTTATTACGACTTTTCCCTGCCACAAGGGTAGCCCCCCCCCTCTTATTATTATTATCCAGCAATGTCAGTGTCCGGGACCGGCTGGACTCTTCTTCTATTTTTGCTCCTCTCCTGCTTGCTGTTTAT